TGCCCCTTTCTTAGCTATTCACAATAGAAAATCAGATTCTATATTCATTATTTATTATATGAAAATTACGCATTCAATCTTCCCAATCAGTAGTTCTTAAAGAAATCAACTAAGCCTCTAAAGACTTTTAGTTTTGTGTTTTCTGTGGCTGACTGGCCCTAAAAATTCTCCCCAGCCCCACATGACAGAATGGTCAATCTTTCAGCCTTAGCCTTGGATTTCTTTTTCAGTTGAGGAGATGGAGAAAGCTGGTGGAAGAGAGCCCATCGCTGTGTCCACGGTGGAGAGTGGCGTAGAGAACCCGGGGCTGGAGCTCACGGTAACTCCCCTTTAGTCCCTGTCCAGTGTGTGCTGCCTCCGGGCTTCCTGTAGGTTCTTCGGCTGCTCTCAATGCCCATCGCCCCTGGCAGGGCTCTGTGACCAGCCCCAACTTCACCTGTGCTTGTAGGAAGAAGTGGCAGAGCCTGAGGGGAGCAGGAGGACTGAAGCTCAAGAACACAGCCTTGGGGATGGGCTGGGCCTGCCCCCTCGCCAGAGGTAAGGGCGTTCTGGGGTTCAGTTCAGTGGGGACCTAAGGCAAGCTGAGTCAGACAGACGAGGCGAAACCTGACCCCTTCTCAGGGGGCTTGTGGTCTTATTGTGGAGACTTGCAATCACCCCATGTGATCATATGCACGTTTGCATTTTATGTAATTAGTTGTTACTTAAACTTGTGCCATAAACAACAACAGGAGTTCAATGATATCAGAAAACAAAAATAACAACAACGATGGTAATAATAATGGCTAACGTTTACTGAGTTTGTACTAACCGTTCTGCAGACTGCTTTATGTAAGAAATTTATTTTCATAGTGACAGGTAGGCACTTGTTTTAATCTCTTTCTTCAAATTAGAAAATTAAGGCTTAGAAATTAATTTAGCCATACATTAAAAAAAAAACAAAACTCTTCGGGAATACTAAGATTTGGGGATGGGCAGAAAGGGAAATTCAGGGGAAAAAAGACATAGAAAGACCTATTATGGAGTATAAAAAAATCAAAAAGGACAGTGTCTTGAAAGTCAAAGAGAAAGATCTCAAGAATGAAGGTACATTACCCGTCTGGGAAAAGGACACTGAAAAAGAAAAAAACAAAAAAATGCAAAAAGATAAGGAATGAAAGATTAGTCCACAGTGTTATGTGAACAGGGGTCGAGGAAGGAGGAATGAGAAAAATCTTTGAATTTGATCATGAATCAGGTCCCAGAAATAATGCCAAAGAAAGTTGTTTGAGTAAAATAGGTCAGATGGCAGGAAGCCACGTTCCATGGTGGGCAAGAGTCTGCGTGTTTATACAAGAGCGCAGGAGTTGCACACTGAGAAACTGAAGAGAGGATATTAGACAGTTTCTGAAAGAACTACAGTCTTGTGCCGTTTCAATGATGACCCCTATATATGACTGGTTCCATAAGATTATAATACCGTATTTTTACTGTCCCTTTTCTATGTTTATATATGTTTAGATACACAAATGCTTACCGTTGTGTTACAGTTGCCTGCAGTATTCAGTACAGTAACATACTGTACAAGTTTGTAGCCTAAGAGCAATAGGCTAGAGCAGCGGTCCCCAACCTTTTTGGCACCAGGGACCAATTTCATGGAAGACAGTTTTTCCATGGACTGGGGCAGGGGGATGGTTTCAGGATAGTTAAAGCACATTACATTTATTGTGCAGTCAAACCTCTCTGCTAATGATACTCTGTATTTGCAGCCCCTCCCCAGCGCTAGCATCATTACCTCGCCTCCACCTCGGATCATCAGGCATCAGGTTCTCATGAGGAGCGCACAATATAGATCCCTCGCATGCGCGGTTTACGGTAGGGCTCCTGCTCCTATGAGAATCTAATGCTGCTGCTGATCTGACAGGAGGCGGAGCTTATGCAGTGATGTGAGTGATGGGGAGCGGCTGTAAATACAGATGAAGCTTTGATTGCTGGCCACTCATCTCCTGCTGTGCGGCAAGGTTTCTGACAGGCCCACCATGACTGGGACTGGGACTGGTACCTACAGGTTTGCAGCCTGGGGGGTGGGGGGGCACAGGGCTAGACCATACAACCTAAGTGCGGAGTAGGCCAAATCATTGAGGTCTGTGTAAATGTAAGTTTGTGTAAGTTCACACAATGATGAAATTGCCCAAGGCAGCATTTCTCAAACGTTTCCCTGTCGTTAAGTGATGCATGACTGTGTATGGATATGATCAGAGCAGCTCCCAAACAAAAGGTTATTTGTTTGTTTACTTCTCTTTATTTTTAAGAATTACCTTACTAATTCTTAAAATTTTGAATTCTATTTTCTTCTCCGGAATTCACTTCTATATAAAATTTATATGTAAAAATTTGTGTATATCATGTAATATATAAGTCATATATATCAATGTGAACATTACCATTTTCTATTTTTGTTCTTCTGCTTATTTTATATACCACATTTCCATGAATCAATAGTAAACTCTTTGTAAATTTTTCATGCTGATATAATATTTCATATGTTGCTTAGCAGTGTAGTGGCTAATAATGTGAATTCTGGAGTCAGACTGCATGGGTCTATACTTGAACTCCACCCCCTGGTATGCTGGTAAATGTTTAAGAATTGGCTCTCCAAGTATAGTTTTGCCATGAATGTTTGTTGATATTTTTGCTTACCTTAATGAGTATGATGAGGGGTTGGCAAACTTTTTCTATAAAGGACAAGATAATAAATATTTTGGGCATTGTGGGCTACACAGTCTCTGTCCCAGCTACTCAACCCTACCATTTTAGAGGGAAAGCAGCCATAAGTGATACTAATCAAATGGGCATGGGTGTGTGTTCTGATAAAACTTAATTTATAAAAAGAAGGTGGAATGGACTTGGCCCACAGACCGTATGCGTCTAGATAAAATAACAAATCAGCCCTGATTCATAGCATTTATCTGTAGTGTATAAACTCTCGACTGATTTCAAGTTATCAAAGGGATGTCATTGACAAGGAGTTGGGAAGAGATATGCATCATTGTGTAAGATTTCCACCATACCCATATGACAGACATAAATAACCTCATGAGCTTAGATAATAGTAAAATGTAGCAATATAATTAGGAAATGATGAGTTTTGAGTATTACCTTCGTCTTTAATGTAATTTAATTATGTTTATATAATTTTTAATAATGGCTTGCACAATCCCTCAAAATTTAACAATCCTCTCTCTCGAGCCAGTACAAGGCAGCTTCCTCTGCACCATTGACTCTACTGTTACGGCAGACCGGGAATAGACCGACACACACACAGAAATATTGGCAAAAAACAGGTTTATACACCAGTGGGCTCAGATAGGGATTTTTCCCTCCAAAATTCTGAGCACCAGACAAAGAGCATTGCAGTCTTTTATACACTCTGCTTAAGGGGGAGGGGCACGGTTACCACAGGGTTAACTTTAGTGAGGCAGAGTCTTAAGTTACTTTACAGCCTAGTATACTAATTGCTACAGGTGATTTATGAGGGGAAAGGTCGCAGGGGAGGAGGGGCCTCAGGTAAGGAATGTAAAGGACAAAGCCTGGTAGTGGAATTTTCCACTTTAGTGAAATTTTCCAATTTTCCACTTCATTCCCCCCCTCTTTGATGTCCCTATATATATATATCATGAGGCATTTGCCCTCATGTGTCTATTATAGGGCATCATCTTTTAATGGGGGATAGCCTCGTATGGCCATTATATGGGCTGTTGTTTTTTTGGGTTACAGCTGTTTTTATGAATTTTATAATTGTGCTCAGTAGGCATGGGCCTATAGTGACAAGGAGAAAAATAGTTATTAAAGGTCCTGCCAGGGGCAGTAGCTATGAAGTCCACTGACCCAGATTGAGCCCCCAAGTTTGTCTAGTTTTTTAATTTTTCTGGACTCTTTCTTTTTTTTTTTTTTTTTAATTTTTAGATGTCATTATTCCGGACTGGTTTTTATAGTAGCAATATTTTTTTCCTAGGAATGTAACAGGTCTCTCCCTTTTCTGCAGTGAGGAGGTTTAGGGCTCGCCTGTTCTGGAGGGTAACTGCTGCCAAAGAGCCTAGCTGGTTTTGGAGGGTTGTTAGTGAATCTGTTACCTGTCCAATATTTTTTTACCCCCTGAGTGCAGATCTGTAGGTCTATGGAACATTTTTTTTTTTTTTAAGACTGGTATAAGCCCGAAACTCTTTGCCTCTGTAACAAGGGTAAAAATCATTTACATTATCACATTTTTAGACGTCCTGGATACATCCTGGAGGGCAAGGGAGAGGGCTATTAATGACTGTAAATGGGAGACAGAGAAGGATTCGAATGGGGAACAACATTGTAACCAGAAAAGGAAACCCACCACAGCCCAATGTAAGATGACTAATAACAGTCTTTTCCCTGGTCCCCAGTCCTCTGGGGCCACTGAATAAAGTCCAATGTCTGGTAGTAAGATCAATAGTCTAAACAGGCCGATGGCGATGTAATGGGCTGGCTCGGTCATTCGGCTTGGGTGTCCTCTGGCGCGGTTGCTGGGCCACCGCTATGCTGGAGGTGGATTCTCAGTGGGTCCTCTGGGTCATGTTGCACTGTCCAGGTGTCCTGGTTTCCCTCAGGTGTGGCTTTTTATTTTCGTGTGATGAATCCAGGGTGCTATTCCTGCAACTTTAACAGCAGTGGGTGTGATTAAGACTACAGTGTGGGGGCCTGTCCAGGTGGGCTCTAGTGGTGTTTTTAGTCTTTAGCCCAGACTGAGTCTCCAGGCTGGTGTGAGTGGACTGGGTGTCCCATCGCTTTAGGGATCTTTTCAGAACATTGTGATGAATCTGACTCAGGGTTTTGGATAGGGAAATAAGCTAAGTGTGTAGGGTCTTTTCCCCTATCTGGGTGATGTCTCCCTTAAGCTGCTTGATTACAGGAGGGGGCATTTTGTATAAGATTTCAAAGGGTGAATATTCTGTCGGCCCTGGAGTGCACCTGACTTTAAGCAATGCTAGACTAAGTAAGTCTACCCAAGGTAACCCTGTCTCTTGGCATAACTTTGCAAGGGTGTTTTTAAGGGTCCAGTCACGCGCTCTACTTTCCCTGAACTTTGGGGTCTGTATGCAGTATGGAATTTTCACTTGACCCCTAATGCTCAGTTAAAGTCTGAGTGATTTTTGCCGTGAAGCTTGGCCCAGGGGCCAGAATAAATTTGCCATTTCATTTTTCTGGGAACCGTGACTCTCAATATCATGGGCTTTGGGGCTGACAATGAGAGGTCAGCCATACCTTCGGGGTGGAAAGTGATTTGGGCCCCCAACTTGTGCAGGAGGTCCCATCCCAACAAGGGAACTGGACAGTCTGGGAGGTAGGGAAACTCGTGTGTTACCTGATGTCCCCCAAGCTGACAGGAGCGGGGCTGGCAGAAAGGCCTGCCTACCTGGTCTCCAGTGGATCCAACTATGGTTGTCTCTCATCCTGTGAGAGGGGCGATCTGGGTGGTCACCACTGAGTGCTCAGCCCCGGTGTCCACCATGAAGGTTACAGGTCGGCCC